ACAGTCCAACCATACCAGGAATGTAAACCATACTTGTTCTCTGAGCCTCCCCAGTTGAAATCAGGTCCTCGTTTGCTCCTAAGTACTCCAAGTTGATAGGTGGAGGCCCAGGAGTACATGACTTATAAAGCAGGTCCACATGTTTGCAATCATACAGTTGTGAACTCATATATTATATAGAGATCTTGGGCCCAACACTCAGTTTACCCAAGCTGTCTTTTCCTCTTAACTGTGTGTGTTCTTGAGTGAATTTTTGACATCTCTCTGCCTTAGATATAACTAAGACATATCTGAAACAACTATTTCATTGGACAGTTGAGATTAAATGAATTATTTGAAAATACTTAGAACCACACTAAGTATTAAGCACCAAATAGTAGCTAGTTACTGTATTTCCTTATGTTAACTATGTCCTAGGCAAAATTCCAAGTGTTTGACATACAGAGTCTCAGGAAATCCTCATCACATTACTTTATTTATAGATGAGGGGAATAAAGTTGAAGAGCCAGACATGGATTCATCTTGAAAGTGACAAAGCTAAGCTTTAGGGTAGCACATTCAGCACATCCCTGTGACAGTGAGGGCTACTGGAGTTGTCATTTTCTAGATAAGCAGAAACCAGGCAGCAATCTGCAGCATTTTTAACAAGCAAACCTGGAAATTTCACACTCAAAAGAAAAGGAACTGCATTCAAGTTGTCACTCATTTGTTTCAGTCTTTCATTTTAGATTTAATGTTCTGAGGTCTTAAGTTTGTAAGTTTCCAAACCCAGATCCAGTGCTTAGAAGAGCTGTAATATAGTTTTACTCATTTTTATTGTCTTTGCTACATACATTGAAGCTACTCAAACTCCCTTTACAGGAGAGCAATCTCAAATGGAACATTTTTTTGGGTGGCTGTTTAGTAAATCTTAATACAATACAGCAATGTAAGTTTTGAAAAGTCTTTTAAGTCAGCCAGGTATGGTGGGTATAATACCTGTAATCCCAGGGGAGACCAATCTGCATGGCCCAGAGACAATTTAAAGAGTAGGGGAGTGGGTTTGGTAGTATATGCATGCCCTGTTAGCTCAGCTACACCCCAGGTTAAGGTCAATCTTGAAAAAAATCACAAAGACCCTATCTGAAAAATAAACTAAAAGCAAGAAGGCTGGAGGCCTGATTTAAATGATTTCAGCTTCCAGTACCACACACAAGGAGACAAAAAAAAAAAAAAAAGCCATGTAACTTCCTCCTTATAGTAAAGAGCATTTTGACTTTTCAAAGCTCTTGAGAAAAAAAGGGTAAGTTGACAATACACTGAAAATTTGATTTTAAGAGTGATTTCAAAATAATCTTTCTTTGTAGAACCTAACTGCTGAAGCAAAACAAAACCTAACGACACAAAGTGTGCCTGGGTTTTGTCACTGAAGGAGAACCACTCCATGGTTCCTTGTCCTTAAGAATCCTGGGCGAATCAGATCATCTGAAATAGAAACTCCACTATTTTTATACTGTAAACTGGGGAGTCGCCAAGGCTTTCGTATCAGCAATGAGTTTCTTAAACTGAATTGAGTATTTATACTTTACACTTTGGGGGAAGGTGTGTTCCCAGACCCTTCAACTCTTCATGCTAGTCTCCCTGAAAAACCTTTGAAAATTACTTTCTGATGTGTTTTGCTTTACCCACCTAGAAAAGAGATGGCAGAAATTGGCAAGAACTTCTCTCGTTTGGGTACCACTAGTGTTAGATGAATGGATGAGTGTGTTAGTCAAAGATAGATAGCATGTGTGTGGCCACTTCATACCTTGTCTGTTTTTTGTAAGGACACACAACATCCTCTGCAGACACAAGGGCACCGATATCAAGGGAAAAAGCATAGGCAAGCCTCCGCTTGGCCACCAATCCCTTCTTTATACGATTGTTTTTTGTTGTGTTTTGTTTTGGTTGGTAGGTGAAAAAAAGGTTTAAGGAATGATGTGGTTATGACAATGCCTTAATCCCTGTTTCCTATATACTCTCGTATACATATGCACCATTTTTAAAATTCAGGAAAGGCAGTGGACATTGAAATAACCCACCTTACAAGCCTTTATTCAACCTCCTCCCTCCTCCACCAGCAGCGCAGAGCCACCTTTATTCTTAGAATTACAAAATATTCTCCAACTGCTAAGGGAAAGTGGTGTAGATTCTTCATGGGCTGATGAACATGAGGCTATAGGTTACAATACTGATTTTTACTGGGATAAGACACCACCAACAGAAGGAAAATGAAGCTGTGTCTAAGAGAAGTTGTCGATTGAAGAAAATGAATTCAAAAATTTTCCATCCCTCCAGAGGGGATGAACGAATCAAAGAAACTGCAATATGACTGTTTATGCTATGCAAAGCAACAGAGCCTTACTTCTGGTTTCTACATCCAACAGGAATTACAAGGGTGGGAACATGATGGGTGGGTTTCCCCTGAGTTATGTTCTCCCCACTATCCTTTGCACCTTCCTTTTATAACAAGACTGAGTGCCCCCAAGAAGGGCACAGAGAAGCAGGGCACCTCTAGACCCCAACATCCCTGGCTCCCATCTATTTCAAGGAGCAGAGACACAGATCTTTAGGGTTGTTGCTTGATTGTAGCCTCTAATCAATTCTGAAAAAGACTTTAAAACAGAGTAGCTTTAAAGGGATATAAAATGGCCCAAATCAGCCAATACAAATAATTGTCAATTTTTGTTTGAAATTAAGCCAATAGGTAGGTTAAAACATTTGCTTAATCATTTGGTAGGTACTAGCTTGTAGGTACTTGCTTGTTGCAAATTAATGAAATACTGTTGTAATTAAATCTCAGTAAGGGTGTTTCAAAGTGTCAAAATTACAATCAACTTCACTGATATGAGAGTCAAATCTCTTTGCTGTATCCAATGGCACAAGGCACCTACTCTGTAAGGGTACTTGTAACATCTTAGGAACTTGTAACATCTACATATGGAGACTGCTTACAGTGTTGTGAAAATTACTTAAATATGTTCATTCAGGAAAGATTTCACAACATGGGGTGACTTTGGTGACTGTGTGTTTGTGTGCAGTGTTAAGGACTGAACCCAGGGCCTCATACATGCTAAGAGAATGCCATGCCATTGAGCTACATCCCCTTAGTGATTTTTTTTTTTTTTTGGGGGGGGGTGGTCAGTCACGGGGCTGAACTCTGGGCCTGGGCACTGTCCCTCACCTCTTTAGCTCAAGGCAAGCACTCTGCCACTTGAGCCACAGCACCACTTTTGGCTTTTTCTGTTTATGTGGTGCAGAGGAATAGAACCCAGGGCCTCATGCATGCGAGGCAAGCACTCTACCACTGAGTCAACCTTCTCAGCACCCCCCTTAGTGATTTTTTAAAGTTACATACCACTACAGCATTTTAATTCCTTTAAAATCAGGGTGATACTTTGTCTTTTAGGGTTATACTTGCTATGATAGATTTTCATGAATTCCTAAAATGTTTAATAAACCTTAAATATACACAAAACCACTGTTAGGCACTCAATACCTGTCTCTCACTGGATTCAATGAGAATCCATGTGGCTCTATGTCAAAGAATGAACACTCAATATTACATATATATGTGGAATCTATTTGTGTAACATTCTTGTATGGATCAACTAAAATATATAGTTGCAATGATGTTTCTTTATATTATAGTTAGGCCTTATTTACATGGTATGTGAAAATTTGGTTTCAAGAACTATCAAACAGGATTGCAACTTTTTCTTGACAATTTAGTCATCACTGTTGAATAGAAGTAGTCATATACCCTGCATTTTTTAAATAGTCAACAGCTTCTCTCCCCTGAAGTGATATTCTCATCTTTATTTCTCAAGTAGCTGGGATTATAGGCATGTGCAACCACCTCTAGCCCCTATCTTACTTTTTAAATATATTTTCTTTAAGTCATTGTACAAAGAAGCTGCCATTCAACAAAGCAGTCTATGAATACAAGGCTTCTTGATCATTACCACCTCTTTCAACATTCTTCTCTATGCCTTACTTTTAATCATAGTTTTCCACGTTTTCCTGTTATTCTTGTGCCTGTAATTTGCTAAGGCCTACTAAGCCAAGTAATCAAAGATACCAGAATGATGTCTAAGGTAGGGGCACTAAATTCAGTGTCCATGTCTTTTTTGGTAAACTCACTTCAATGCAGCCTTGATCTCTGGCTTAGCAGCCTTGGGGGATGGACAGCCCTGAGTGTGACTATGAGAAGCTCATTCTCAAGAAAAGAGTTCTTTTTTTTTTTTGAGATTTTTGTCTATGGCCTGGATAGTTGAGATTGCTGGGGATAGCTATCTCCAGAAACCACACCATACACACACACCCTTTCTCTGGCTACTGAAGTATGAGATATATTTAGTGCTTATGTAGTTTCAATAACTAAGTTTAATTTTCCTCTCCCTTACCAGATTTACTGAGCAAAATGACATTTCAAACCTTGCTGTAGTGGGTCAACAATCACCTGTCAGAACTCCAGGGTAGCATTTGTCTAGACCTTGGCAATGTGGGTTTGAATCTTGGCATTCTGATGGCAAATGACCTAACTATATTGATGTTTAGTTTGTAGCTCTTCTTTCAAATGCAGGTAGTAACAGTACTTCTGGGGGGGGGGGGGGGGGGAGGGCGGAGATGGAGATGGGAGTTTGAGAGATAATGTATACAAATGTCTGGTGAAGTCTAAAATAAACTGGACTTGTAGCTGTAATCATCATGAAAACTTCTGTGGCTCTGTGGAAGAACCAGTTGTTGTGTTTATGATTCCCGAAGCAATATTCAGAGGAAAGCAAATTCCCTCCCTCACTTACTGTTTAAAGAGAGAAGTAAAATCTGTATCTGCAGCACACTGCTCTTACCTAACACTAGCTGATTGCTGTCATGGCATAGAGTGCAAAGGAGCCAAGACCTTGCTTCTAAAATGTTAAAAATACATCCTAAACATTTACAGTGAAACAGTATTATCTCAGTGGAAGAAACAGGCATACTAACATGAAAAAACACATTTTATTGCACTTAAGTTATAAGAAAATAAAATTTCTAAGTGAGTCAAACCATAGACACAATCCCTTTAAAGGTTGTTTTCCTCCATCATGTCAGGTTGGTACGTAACTAAAATTAACCAACTTGAATCTGACTGTTTTAAATCAGACTATAAATAAAACAAACAAAAAAAAATAAACAGGAGGAGGAAAAAAGACCGCCTAGGATACAGTGTTAAACCACTTTCACAGTTCAGCTTGAGTTGTGGCTCCTGGAGAATGAGGCAAACCATCTGACTTTTCATTCGTGGCGCTGGTTTGCGTGTGACATGTTCACTACAGAGACTGAATCATTCCTTTTTTTGTCAGTTACTCAGAGCAATGAAACTGTAACAGTTGTTTTCCCAAATACTGTAAAACGCTAAGACTGACCAGCAACTTTATTTTAACTTTGTGTTTTATGTATTTTTAAAATATCTGTCAGTTTTATTTTGTATGTTCATCCATTCACCACAGCCCTCAAAAAAGAAAAGTCTCTCCGCAGAACAGGCGGTAACAGCTCTGTTCCAAGGAATGTGTTTTTTTGTTGTTTTTTGTTTTTGCCCAGATAAAAGAAAATAAGCTTTGCACACACTCTCGATTCTTTACTTGCAGGCAAACTTCACTCTTTATTATCTGAAACTCTTCCACTCTCAGCCTCTTAGAGGCACAGATGGTTCAAGTTTCAGTGGCAAAAAGTCTTTTTTCTGTAACCAAACTAGAGCAAATTTGGAATTCAGTCTGGGACTAAAACGTCACAGCAGAAAAAAAATAAAAAAAAATAATTTGCCTTTTTTTTTCTTTCTTTCATTTAGCAGCATAAATAAGTTTGGCCACTGGGAGTACAGTACAGGGGTGGGACAACAATCCCATATTTGAAGACCTACTTCTAGCACCAGCGTCAAGGATTAAATCCATCTCAGGACTCACAGAACCCAGGACAACTTGCCACCTTTGAGCAACATATGCATTGAAGAGTGTAAATGGAAGCAACAGTAAATAGATTAACAGAGGCTAATACTGTGATTGATTGACATTGGCAATAGTTGGCAAAAAAGAAAAAGAAAAAGCTTTTCATGATAACTATACAAAACAATTCACAGTATTTTTTTTTTTAGCTTTTCCACTTCAGAAAAATGACTTTTTGTTGCAGATGCTCTCTAGTTAGAAAGTCAACCAGTACTTGTTTTGTTATTACTGCAGCTCTTTGCTAGGTGACAGTAACAATATTTCGGCATTAACACTGCCCAATAACCACTGGAGAAGAAAATAAAGAAATAATTGCACCTGGTTTGATTTAGAAAGTCTCAATTTGCAAAGCTGCCCTCAGTCACAAATGAAGAGTCAGCTGACGGACGCCTTTCCTGTCAGTTGCATTTGTTGTCTGCTCCTCTCTTCCTTCTTGAACTGTAGGTCTTTTCAATCTGTTGCCCCAAACCAACATCCTGCACCACTGAGTACAAGGGATTTTTTTTTCATTTTCTTTTCTTTTTTCTTTTTATTCTTTTTTCTGTTTTTTTTTCTTTTCTTTTCTTTTTTTTTTTTTTTTTGCGCAGGGAGAAGGGTAGGGAGTATATCGTCTACACATTTGGACAAAATTCATCTTCTGCTCTTTACTTCATGTCCACATCAAAGTCCAGCACCAGCAGCTTGGTTTCTTCAGTCCCATTCCGACTCCCAACTGCACACACCAGCTTTGTGTTCGAGGCTCTGATCCTCCACACAACTCCCCCACTGCCCCCACTTTCCAATGTGACTAGGTTTCGAATAAATTCACCCGTTTTCAAGTCCCATAGTTTTACAGTTCCATCATCTGAACTGGTAATTACAAAGTTCTTGTTGAACTGTAAACAGGTCACAGCACTCTGATGCTTGTTGGGACCTAGGCAAAACCAAAGGAATTTAATTACTGGTTAGAAATCCTAGTTATGGGTCTGTTACATTATAATTTCTAGACTTTTTACATTACAATATACACTAAATGCAACATTTAAAATGCTGCATATTTAGAAACCTTGTTCTCAAGTATTTTAGGATCAGCATGGATACAAGAAAGTCTGGTAGCTATTTGTAACTGAAACATTATCTTTCAAGAGTTCTATCTTCCAGGAAGCTTGGTTAGCTACCAGGCACACATTTTTTTCTCTGGCTTTGTGAGGGAGAACTTTGCCTAGCAATGACATAGAGTTGGTGAAACTTTGTGTATTCTGCTGAGGGACAAATGAGCATGAGGGATCTATTGCCTGTCATTCTGAACTGACCAGTCAAGGTGAAAGCTGAATGAACACTGTTCTAAAACTCACAGGAAGAGGTAAAAGCAACATGCAGAAAGCTGCCATGATACCCGCCAGATGGCTTCACTAAAAAAAAAACAAAAACCCAGTTTCTGAGAGCTCTGACTAGAAAACAGAAAAAGTTAACCATGAAGTGCCCCACTGCTGTGCCTGGTTGCATAGGAATGACTATAACCTTCTTTTAGCTTAGAGTGACTATTATGCTTTTTCAGTCAGTTTAAACAGGTGACTAACTAAAGGCCAGAGTAGGTTTTTAACAGCAAGAATAAAATTCAAAATACAACAAACATGTTGCTGCTATGAGGTGGTGAAGATCTTTCTTCTCACTTTTCTTTAAGGTTAAGCAGAGTCAAGTGAACACATAGGAACTGATTAAACAGTTTTCTATTAAAAATGCAATTTCAAACAAGTTCTTATAGGAACCTACTTTGTATGCGAAAAGAAAATACTCATTAACTTTTCAATATTAAGCATTTTGCGTGAGATTAACATTGTGATGCTACAGTTCTGTCCAGTTTTCTCTCCTGAGTAATTATGGCATTTGTGATGACTATAATCAAAGACAGACCAGTACCTACCTTGCAATGTTTGTAAACACTGTCCTGTTTTGATATCCCAGATTTTAACTGTAGAATCTGCATTCCCAGAGACAAGAATATTGTCTTTGAGTTCCATTCCACTTGTTAAGGACTGGTGCCCTGTTAATGTGTGAATGCAATTTCCTGTCTCCACATCCCAAACTCGGATTGATGTATCAAGAGATCCACTCACCACATGGATGCCATCAAACTACAACAGACACGTTGTATTAGAAAGAAGTATGGGCATGATTTGTATCAGTTATTGACTTATTCCTCTAGGGGAAGGGTAAGGCTGAAAGCGCAGTTCTAGCAAAGTGTGGCAGATAAAGTAACCTGCTTGTCATCAAGCAACTCCACAGTGTAGTTTCTAGGACACCACTTTCATAAATGCTATTTTTATATACCCAGTAGTTTCAAAATAAAGGTAGAAACAAGGAAACTGACTCCTGAAATAATCAACAACAGTATTTCTGGATCATCTGGTAGCTATGTCCTATGGACTATTCAGTGAGGCTTTTAGAGTTTTAGTTCCTTCCCCACAGGAAGCTGAAACTCATGCTTGAGCTTGACGTAAGAGGTGTGCTTATCAGCACCTGAGGCATTAAAAGGGAGAGAGATACCTTTCATCATGTTTAAAAGCGAGTTCCATTAAAAAAAAACTGTAGGTAAAATAAAAGTAGTTTACAGGATGCTAATGCTAATTAAAAATGTATGAAGGATAATGGTATCTGGACATTCTGATGACAAAGCAAGTCGTATAGCTGTCTCTTCTCTAGCTTCCTAGTCACATCACAAGTCAATAATTATCCACTGGTTCCCACTAGACAGATATAAAAATTCGTCCATCTCTTTTCTCTTGTTTTGAGAATGTTATATTCATTTAGGTTCTGAGCCTATCATCAAACCAAAAAAAAATTCCATCTCCTTCCAATTTAATCAACACTTTAATTTTCATATCACTATTTCATGATATAGAAGCTACCTTATCAATTAAGAAATGAATACCCTAAGAACAGCAATGTCAGCACTGGAATTATGTACTAATTAGCTGATCATTAACAAACAATAACTGGTAAATAAACTATGTAAGTAATAAAACATTTTTAATGGAAAATGCTGTCTCTAAAAGAAATAAAATATCTATTTTCTAAATTTGCTATTAGTCTAGTTAATGATTATGAAATATGAACAACAAAAAAAATTAGGTTAGTCAAATTTCCTTCACGGCTACCAACCAAAGGCTCTGTATAGAAAGGCTCCACTGCTACTGTAAATGGGGACAGGATCACAACCACCAAGTTCCATCAACTTTTAGCTATCACAGCAAAGTGGCAGCTTTTGGCCAAAGTAATCCTCTGCTAAGAAGTTTATTAAAGTCAAAGTTATTTTCCTATGAGACTATTAAATTATACAGCAAAATTTACAGTCCCAATGTTTCAGGTTCTAAAGACAAATATTTGCACTTTGGAGGGAAAATGGATAGCAGAATTGAAACCAGTTAAAGAGTTTTGAAATTTAGCTTTGTTCATGCCAATTTTATAAACATGTAAACAAGCTATACATTGGTGGCCTATGTCTGCAATCCTAGATACTTGGGAGGCTGAGAAAAGGAGGCCAAATCTGGCAGAAGATTCACAAGATCTCTTTCTCAACTCATAGCATGGGAAGCTGATGAGATTGGGAGGATCATGGTGCCAGGCCACATCAGAGAAGAAAAGCCCATGAGATTCGGTCTCCACAGCAGGGAAACTGGATGCAATGACACATTCTGTGATCCTTGCTACAATGAGAAGCCGAACAATAGGCGGATTTTGACTTAGTTGTATACCCTAGTGAAGTGAGACTCTATCCTAAAAATTAACTAGAAAAACAGGGCAAAAGGCATGGCTGAGCAGTAAGTACATACCAGCCAGGCAAGAGAGAGGCTGAGTTCAAACCCCCAGCATATGTAAAATGTATAGGGGTAAAACAGGAGATTAACTGGATTCATCCTCATCTTTACAGGACTGAATTGAATCAGCAAAGTTGACAGTGATTATTTGACAGAGTAGAATAATCTTATGATTCATTAGCAGAGCACGTAAGAGATGGAGAGATAAGATCTCTTACCTGTAATGAATAGACTCTATTAGTATGCCCTTGCAACGTGTGTAGACAGGTCTCAGTCTCTGGATCCCACACCTTCACCATAAAATCATACGCTCCACTAACAACCCTCCTGCCATCATACTGAACACAGCGGACTGCTGCTACATGACCCATCAAGACATGTAAACACTGGCCTGTCTCGATATCCCAAACCCTAAGGGTGGCGTCTCGAGAACCACTAACAACTCTGTAAGGGGAAAGAGAAAAAGAAGCATTGGATTTTTAGTAACATGAAGAAACAGATCAAGTCAGTAGGTATTTTTTCCTTTCTTAAGCAGCAACACCTGTTTTTCACAAGAAATCTTATTTAAAACTTTCATATATAAAGACAATATTGAGTTACTCAGATTGGAATGCTAAGTGGGGAAGCCAAGAATTTTACCTGGTTGGTTCCTTGACTTGGACCTTGTGTTCTAGCACCTGGAGGTTCCGTGGAACAGAGTTTGAAAAAACCTCTTTTATTATATTCTAAAAGAAGGCCACTATCAATATAAACAATATTTTAGAAATAAAATGGCAATGTGTATATATATAAATATTAATGCAAGTCTAGGGAGTATTACTTTGAACAACTTAAATTTTTTTAATGTTCTCTGTTGTTTCCTTAAATTTCAAGATGAACACTTACTACCTTTGTGACTAGGTAAAAAATTCAGTAAAGGTTCCTCAAAAGATTTATAACCAAATTTATAACCAAAATTTGGGGTTTAGACAGCTACAGGTATTGTTTTACATCTTATATTCTGGTAAAATGTACTAGATTTAGATATGTGCTCAAGGAAAATATGCTTGTGCTTATTATAATGCTTAAATATCCAATAGGTTACGGGGATATTCAGATCCATGGATTTTTAAAGATAGATCTGTAGAAGGTATAGAAATTCCTTAAAACTTTGGCCTACCATGATTAAAGTTCTGAAAACCAGAGTGATTTCAATCATGTAATTATCTCTGGATTATAAAACAAAGCTGAAGACCCAGGTGTTCTTATCATTCCTGAGCAAATGCCAATTTCCAAGTTTGAAAGAGTGGGACATTGAAGCACTGAGAGACTGAATACAACTGCAAGTGAAGTGCAAGATCTCTTGATAACCAACCTCAAATTTAAACTACATAGCACACTGAAGTAGATTCCAAGTATGAGTAAAAAGGGTTCTTTTCTCACAACTCAGGAAAGACATCTTCTTACTATAATGGTGCTATGGACAAATTTATAGGTATAAAGAGATTTATCTCTTTTAAACTCAGGCTCTTACTATGTAGTCCAGGGTGGCCTTGAACTCAACATCCTCCTGCTTCAGTATTCTGAGTGCTGAGATTATGGACATGTGCTACTGTATGTCTGGCTAAAGAGAACTTCAATGACAAATGGGATAGAAAACACATGATGGAATTTCACCAGGAGAGTACTACAAGACGGGTCTGGTTTGGCTGAAACCATCTTGAAAACAGGACTGAGGGTTTCTTCCTCAATTCAATAGCCTACACTTGCAGGCTCCCAAAATAAAGACAGGGCAGTGATGTTATCATAATTAGATGAGGGCTTTCTGTCTGCTGTATAAAAGACCATGCTTAAAGCTATGCCAATAGTTCTAATGACAGATGATAAGTGAAGATATTAAAAGCCACAGGTCTCAGCTTTTGTCTCAATGGAGGGGGGCAGGTGGTGATAAGGTAGGTGGGTAATTCAAGACTCAGAAGGCTGAGTGACTAAATTTTTTATACTTTCAAAATTATGAATACCAAGAGGCAGAAAATCATTTTTTGAAGATGATTAATCATCAAAGAACAATAAAACAGACTAAGGAGGAAGCCCATAACACCATCAAATAAGGAGGGAAATTTAAAGATAACGTCTCCGTTTTAAGTCAATTCTGTCTGACTCTCTTAGTTTAGAAACATCTGCAGTCTAAAAATTAAAGTCTAATTTAAGAGGTCATTATCACTGTTCTCAGTAATGCCACAAATAAATGCCACAAATTCACAAGTGATAGGGAGAAATCCCTGCCATGATACTTTTTTTTTTACCTTTTTTCATGGAGATGCATACAACGTACAGTGGAAGTATGCCCATACAAGGTGTGTATACATTCTCCGGTCTCAGCATTCCACACTTTGAGAGTCCGATCTGTGGATCCACTAATGATGATATTGTCTCTCATCTGGGATGACCACACTCCACCTGTATGTCCCACTAATGTTCTCAGACACTGGAAAAACACTTAAGTTGATTAATTTGAGGTAGAAAATTCAAACAATATAACAACAGCTCGTTAAAATTTATAGTAAGTTATTTATTCCATTTGGTCCAGCAGAAAAAAACTCTGTACATCAATACAATATGGCTCTATCACTACCTATTCCTTTTTGTTCATCCAGCAGTATCATATACTTACATGGATACATCAGTAAAACACACAGAAAGCAAACATGGTATGAAACATATGATAAGAATCACATACGATAAGAATCACATGAGATAAAACATATGATGTGAATGAAAGCAAACATACTGAGATGAAAGCAAAGTATGATAGCTCCAGCCTGCCCTCCTTAGTGAAATAATATGTAAAATTGCAACTTAGTTTCTTCCTGGGAATAGAGTCAATAAAAGAATGCCAAGAGAGTTGGGTGTGGCTCCATACCACATTTCACATTAATCTGCCCAAGGCAGTAGTTAGGAGCCAGACAAGCTACTTCTAGACAAGTAAAGACAGACATTAAAACCCTGAAATAAATCCAAAACTAATATTACACCATGCAAATATGAAGTTGCTTTAAAAAATTTTACCATCTGACTTGGAATATTTATAAGATTCTTGTCCAAGAAGCAACATGATAAAAGACATTTTCATAGCATATTTTTTCATACTTTCTTCTTTTAGTTTTTAGATGGCCAATTATTTAATTAATGACAATATTCTTCTTTGGAAAAATAAAAATTAATATTTACTAGTTAATCATCAAAGCATAATATGTGAAGTAAAGCTATTCCTTGAACTGCTTCTTCTTTCAAACACATATTTAAACATCTACTCTTCTTAATTTCCACTGGAGATAACTCTAGATTAACACAATTTACTTCTAAGTTATAGGTAGGTAGCTCATCAACAAAGAAATTCACAAGGAAAACTAAACAACTATACTTTTTGAAAGACATTCAGAAATAATGTAGTGTAATGTGGAAAAGAAAGGTGAGAAGTAATAGGCCAAGAAAAAGAAAAGGTGCATTTGAAAATCCTTATGATACTTCAGTTACAAAGGCATAAAGGAAACCTAATAGTCTCTTATCATGGTAAACACCATTTCCATCATGCCAGAGACTTTCCTAAATAGGAAGGGAAAGGCAGAATTAGAAGCCCTGATATTTGCTACCAAAACAAGTGTGGCTCAAATCTTTTATGAGTTATTATTTGCAAAAATATGCATTTACAATGGTAACTTGGTAAAGTGCAGAAAGAAGTCAACTTACTTTGCCTGTGACTGCTGACCAAACTTTTAAAGTGTTGTCATCAGAACCACTAACTATTCGGTTACCACAGAACTGTAAGCATGTGATCACATGATCATCATGTCCTTTCAGCACCTATCAGGTAGAGGTACACATTAGAGACATGCTACCACATTGTATTCTTTACAATCTGGTGAGAGGAAGAAAAACAAAGTCATAAACAGAACCAGTAACCTGCAGTCTACTTCTAAAATTAAATTATGTAAGGTATGAAGCACCATCTTTCCTTTCCCTGGCTGATGAATTAAGCATTGACCATTTTTTTAATCCATATTCTATTACTTACATTTGAAATACCCACTTTTAAAATCTGAGTCAAAACCTCATAAAGATGGTTCAAGCACAATGTATTTTATAATCATCTATTTTATCTGTTTAAATCAAAAGAATATGTATCCTTTATTTGCAATTTGGGCATACAAGAACAAAAGAAAGCATCATTTAACCAAAAGACAACAGTAACAATTGTCTGCTTTTTCAACTTATGAATCAAAAACCTGTGACACCTTATACATGTCAATTTGCCAGCATTTTCCCAAACCAGCTGCTTCCCTCATTATAAGAGTACATCTAAGAATTTTAAGCATTTTTAGCATTTTTTTTACATGCTGTAAAACAGAAAACTAGAATTATGCTTCAATTCATAAAAATAAAACAGAAAAGTCACCAAAACCAAAATGAAGATTCTCCTCATTTATGCTTCAATTCACAAAAATAAAACACAGAAAAGTCACCAAAACCAAGAGGAAGATTCTCCTCAAGAAATCATAGTTGAGCCAGGCACCAGTGGCTCACACCTGTAATAGCAGCTAAGCCAGACGGCTGAGATTTGGAGGATCAAGGTTTGAGAGCAGTCCAGGCAGAAAAGTCAGAGAGAAGGCACTAAAATAACCAGCAAAAGCTGAACTGGAGGTATGATTATGTGGTGGAGTGCCAGTCAAGCAAGCAAGCAGAGTAAGCACAAGGTTATGAATTCAAACTCCAGCATTAGAAAAAAAAATTATGTGGGGAGAAGTTACAAATAGAGAATGTATATAACACAATAGAATTTTATATAAGGATATTTTCAGATTGTCCTGTACGTACAATGACATTCTTCTCATCTTTGATTCAAGTGAAATTTGTTGTCAGTGAAAAAATGAGCAATAAAGGAATACTGTAAATTATACTTTCCATTATTTCAATATATTGTAGCTTTGGTTGGGGGGTGGTGGCAGTATTCAGGTTTGAATTCAAGGCCTTACATTTGCTAGGCAGGCTCTCTACTACCTGAGCCATGTCCCCAGTCTTTTCATTTACTTTTGGAATAGAAATTTTTCTTACTTTTGTTCAGGCTGGCTTCTGATCACAAACCTCCTACCTATACCTCCTTTGTAGCTGGTATTACAGGTATGAACCAATATGCCCAGTTTGTTTGTTGAGATATGGGGGTCTAACTTTTTGCCTGGACTGGTTCAAACTACAATCCTTTAATCTTTCAATTCTCTTTCACACCCCAAGTAGCAGTAGCAGACATTACAGGTGTGAACTATCATGGTTAGCACATTTTCTCACATAAGTGACACTGTTTTCTAAGAAACAGTACATTAGGTTCAGCCACTGATTAATGCCTTCCATGCATTGTGCAAGAATTCAGTTACCTTAGGAGATTTGAGTTCTCCTCGTCTCCAGTTCGTATCAATTCTATGCTGTCTGATGTATGCACTTTTCCATGGACTGTGTATGAAACCTGGTTTTATTACTTTTCTTCTCTTGATGTGCAATGGTTCATCAATCCCTGTAGTGTTAAAAGTTCAACAGCATAAATCCAGTAGTAACAATTACATATTGTATACTGTATCTTATAATCACACATATTTCCCCAGGAGACACAGGACCCACCCCAGTGAAACACTCACTCCTGTACAGTTTATGGGACCTAACCAGAATTGTCTCAAGGAGGCTTGATCTCCTACTGTGACAGACTCAGTTAACTTTAGGCCCAGTGTTATTTTCTGCTGTGCGTTATCCATAAACTGCAGAGCCCTGTCCAATTGTTAATCTTGTTAGCAAGTACACAAGCACAACACACTGCTCCATTCCTTTCTCACAGTAATTCCAGGAGACACTGGTGAGGATGTACAGTGCCCGGAATGCTGGGGCCTGGTTTGTACAAGTGAAAACTGGTACAGGTACTGTGGGAACTAGTGATGTAATTCTTCAAAAATGTAGTACACATGGCTAGCAATTTCAGTTTTGGATATATAATCCAAAAGTATTAAAAGCACAGACTCAAACAGGTACCCATGCTGGTAGCAGTTATTTGTAACAGTCAAAATGTCTATTAGATGAATGGACAAACAACATGATATATGTACACAGTGGAATATTATTCAACCTTTAAAAAGAGAATCTGTATACATGCTGTGATATGTATGGATCTTGAAAATACTATGTCAAATGAAACAAGATTAATTACAAAAACAAACTCAAATATCATATGAGTTTTACCAAATGAGGTATCTAGAACAATCAAATTTATAGATATAAAAAGTTGTTGCCAAGGAAGTGGCACTATGGCTAAAGCGGTAGAGCACTCGTCTTGAGCTGAAGAACACAGGGACAGCTCCCAAGCCCAGAGTTCAAGCCCCACAACCAAACAAAAAAAAAAAAAAGTTGTTGCCAGGCTAACAAATTTATTATTATTATTATTGTTATTTTCTTTTTTGGTGGGGCCAAGAGGAAAAGGGTCTTTATTTCCATATGTCAGGTCATCAAGGGAAAGCGCAGCCCAGTGAACAAAATTAATTATTTCTAGAGATAGTTAGTAGTGACTGCTGTGCAAAAATGTGAATACATTTAAGATCACTGAACTGTATACTTAGAATCATTAAAATAACCCATTTTATAATATATGTATAATCATGTTTTAAAAGACATTAAAACATGATCCTGTAAGAGAAGTTCAGGCAGCAATGATTAGTTTCACTGCGTGTATAAAGATACAGAAGGAAGACTTCACTATTAAACTAAGTCCCAGACTGGGTCTAAACCTGAAAGCTTTATAAACCTGGACAAACCATCAATGCTTCCCATTTGCCTATACACAACAAATGGCAATCACCCTCACAGCATTCCTCTACCTCTATGATTCTTCACAAAAATTTTATTTCTTAAAGGAAAACAGCAGTTTTACACATTTCTGCCAAACTATATAAAAATGTTACATATTTTTTTCTAAATGCCTGCTGGAAAAAAAAGCTCTTGTTTTCATTAATGTACATGGCACTTACTCTTCTAAGAAAGAGGATTTAAAACACAATGAAAGTGTTCAAGGACTATAAGCTCTATGGCAGGAAGAAAATGGCCGAGCAGGGATAGGCCCAGTATTCACAAAGGCCGACTTCTTAGGCACTGTATTGCAGGAGGAAATTAGGGAGGAAGTTATGTGGGTATATAACTTGTAAGATAATCTGTGGGCTTCCTCTAAATTGTCTCCATCTATCTTTCATTGTTGGAATCAAGTAGATAGATGAGTGTGGAGTTCCATTCTTCTATCTGGACATGAAGCCTATTTTGTCTACTTGTTTTTCAAATTCTCTCTACAATTGTGAACCTTACCCTCTTCTTTGCATTTTTCTCTCCAGAGAAGGTTGTCTTCAGCCAAAATTCTCCAGTAGCGACACGTCTGAGCCGCTTGCAGCAGGTCTTTGGGTTCCAGGAATGAAAGCACATAAAGGGCCAACTGTGGAAAAGGAAAGGGCATAGTATACTCACATGAAAAAAACTACAGAAGAGTTAACCGTTCTCCACAGAATACTTAGATGTAAATGTAATTCTACAAGTTTCTAAAACTATGAAAGATATACCTTCAATCTTAACAAATTTAAACTAAATCAAAAATAAATACCCACTCTACTGTTTATATCTTAAAAACACTGACTAAACGTCTCTGCTCTCGCCTTTGCTCTTTGCCTCAACATGTGTATATATGTACGTATATGTTTCTTTTGCCCACTCCAGGTCTTGAATTCAAAATTTTATGTTCTTCCTCTTGCTTGTTTGTTCATGGCTGGTCCTCATCAGCCATACCTCCAAGCCTCATGCTTTTTTTTTGGGGGGGTCTGGTCGTGGGGCCTGAACTCTGGGCCTGGGCGCTGTCCCTCAGCTCTTCAGCTCAACGCTAGCGGTCTACCACTTGAGCCACAGTGCCACTTCCGGCTTTTTTCTTTTTGCTTATGTGGTGCTGAGGAATTGAACCCAGGGCCTCAGGCATGCAAGGCAAGCACTCTACCACTGAGCCACCTTCCCAGCCCCCAGCCTCATGCTTTTTGCTGGTTGGTTGGAGGTAAGTCTTTTGGACTTTTCAGCTCAGGCTGGCTTCAAGCAGAGATCTTCAGGATCTTAGCCTTCCCAAGTAGCTAGAATTACAAGCATGAAAAACTACTGCCTATTATTAAACCATTCCATAAGCAAATAAAAGTAATAGGTTCTAGTTACTTAATACTGTTTATGAGGATTTTTTGGGTCAGGTCACATAGAGGTATGGGATAATAGCCTCTGAGCATGTTTATTTTCAAGCAGTAATACAGAATTTAAATTTGAGTTAAAATGTATCTCAATAGAGCAATCAAGTTTATTATTTAATTAAGAGACAAGGATTAAATTGAACTATTATTTAAGTCATACATGTTGTAAAAACATGACTTGAATTATTCTGTTGAATTCTTAAATAGGAATTACACCCTATCAATCACTTTATAGAGTCAATCATTAATCATTTATTGGCATTTTCCATATTCAAACTATACTATTAACCAGTATTCAGCTTAACATTTTTGATGAATAACAAAAAAACTTCATGAAACAAGATGTTTGTCTATCCAAGACTATTCAGTATATGTATACATGTTATTTATAAAGAGGTGTGTATTTATTATGTGCACTGACACTTTTTATACATACACATAATACATATACACACATCAACATTGTACTTTAATTGTTAATTTCATTAACTACTTGACTTGCTACTTACCAGTCAATCAAAGCCTAATTCGACATCACTGTATTATCAATCTATGAAACTGTAAAGTCAACAGAAACCAACAGACACAAAGATAATTTGTGCAGGAGATGATAATTAGTGCCCAAAATATTTATGAGACATATAGAAAAAAAGGCTATGTTTTAGTTTATTTGGCTGAAGAATAAGTTTGGTAATTAACAAGAAGCAGCAGCAAAAAAACCTAGAACAAATAAGATGTTAAAAGTACATTCCCCCCTCCTAAATCAACAGGTAAAATCTCCTTCATTAATAGTGATCAATTCCAGTAAATGCATGCATTAACAAGAAACTGGTGCTAAGAAAAACTGAAGTGCTAACTTCATTTCACTTATGTTTGTCTATTTCTATCTAGCAAGTTTCATCAAATTGGAAATGGTACTTTTTTTCTTATTTTTGTCATTTAGTAATGTAACTACCTTCAAGAGTATAGTTTAGTGATTATATTGAACTGCATTTCTTTCCTCATATGTGCATTGTATAATTATTGTAAAATATGCAGAATTTCACATGTGTATGTATTTCTCTCTGTCCTCATCTCCTATTCTCTCTCTGCCTTCTCTCTTTCTCATCCCCTACTTTCTGTTACTTCTCCTACAAATTACAATGAATTAGTTATGACCATTTCTAAATCATGTACACTGATACTACCTTATCGTCAATTACAGATATATGGGTATTCTTGACTTTACATTGTCTCAGAAACAAATTTGATGCTTGCTAGTTTTTTCTAAAACTGAATCTGTTGAATAGACCCGCTTATGAAAGTCACATAAGCATTCCTTGACTCCAGAAGCACATGAATAGGAAACTTACCTCTTTTGGGAGCAAGGAAATGAAGTCCCGTTGAAACTGAGGTTCTATCACTTGCATCATATGCTTCACTTGTGTTGGTTCACAACTATCAATAAGCTCATCTAAAGCAAGCAACTTCTCTGGTCCGCTCCAGCTCTACCAAAGAGGAATTAGAAACTTTTATTATTTTGACAGATGCCTCTAATTATAAACTCACAAAGGAAAATGTCTATCACTCATGGCCATGTCTAGATGGCAGAACGACATAAAAAAGTGTGGACAGAGGCACAGATGCCACTGATGAAGTAATGATTCAGCGTAGTCAAGTTCGCCATCTTATTGTAAAGGCTTTAAAAAGTCATGATCTGACAGAACAATATTTCTGTATTATATTTTTTGTCATGTTCATCTACCACCAAGGTACAGCTTGCAATGCCAAAATTTTATTCCAGAAATATTCATTTGAGTTACAGAGTAAAAAGGAAATTCTAATTGATGATTCTTCTTTCTCTATATTCTTTCTAGTGGGCATGACAGGATTTTGTTTTAATAAGGTTTTCACCATAGGTCACCACAGCTAGCCTTGAGCTAAGGAGCTGAGGGACAATGCCAAGGCCCAGAGTTCAGGCCCCATGAGGAAAGAAAGAAAGAGAACAAAAGAACAAAGGGAAGGGAGGGAGAAAGGAAGGGAGGGAGGAAGGAAGGGAGGGAGGGAGGGAGGAAGGGAGGAAGGAAGGAAGGGAGGGAGGGAGGGAGGGAGGGAGGGAGGGAGGGAAGGAGGGAAGGAAGGGAGGGAGGGAGGGAAGGGAGGGAGGGAGGGAGGGAGAGTAGAGGAGGAGAAGGGAGGGGAGGAGAATGAGGGGGGAGGGGAGAGGGAGGGGAGGAGAATGAGGGGGGAGGGGAAAGGGGAAGGGGAAGGGGAAGGGGAAGGGGAAGGGGAAGGGGAAGGGGAAGGGGAAAGGGAAACTTATTACTTAAAGCATATCTCAAAACTGACCTGTTTCACAATCTAACCAATCTCTACCCAAACCTGAATATGTGTGTGTGTTTATAAATAAAAATGTATAGTCACTGATTTGTTGATTTATATTTCTTGTAAGATCTGAGATGGAATTAATGTTGTTCCTCCCCACTTACATCATGGGGTTTGTGTATACTACTACTGAGAGACTACACTAACTCAATCAAAATTCAGCTTTAATAAAAGTATTCAATAGCAAAACACATTTCACAGACTTCCAAATACATTACACAGACTGTATATGCTAACAGATTGAGAAGTATCTCTTAACCAATATTTTAGAGAATGGGGTGTAGAACTGGAAGAACTAGAATAAAAGATACATAACCAATTCATATTTTGGGTAAAGGTTTGAAAAGGTGGGGTTTTTTTGGCCAGTCCTGGGGCTTGAATTCAGAGCCTGAGTACTGTCCTTTAACTATTTTAATCTTCAGGGTAGCTCTCTATCACTTGAGTCACAGCTCTACTTGTGGCATTTTTTTTTTTTTTTGGGTGGTGGTGTTTAGTTGGAAGTAGAGTCTCAAGTACTTAGCTGTTCCAGCTGGCTCTGGATGGCAATCTTCAGATCCCAGCCTCCTTAGTAGCTAGTATTTAGGTGTGCTAAAAAACTTTCAACTGTTTCTAACCTCCTAACCCCTGCCCCGCTTACCCACCCACCTACTGACTAGAATGAAAGTTCCATGAAAAAGCATTCTTTGTTTTGAATCCTAAAACATTCAGGTATGACTACACCCATGCTATCTCAAAACACTAAAGAATATATTTTTTTATATTTATGGTATCTTTGGGGCTTGCTTGCTTGGTTTGGCTCAAGAATGGTTTCAAATTTTCTAACATACATGATTGAGCAGTAAGAGAAGTATGTATTAACTTGAAAACCTTGCAGTTAACAATTATATTAAAACAAAAGAACAAAACCAACAACAGCCTTTAATGAGAAGTTGCAGAATACAGCATTAAGTTGGATCAGGAAACCCAACTTTTAAAAGGAGACATTGTCACTAATTAGGTAACAATGTAAACTCTTCGGGCCTTGGGTTTTTTGGGTTTCTTCTGGTGAAAGCAAAGTGAGGGATAATTGATCATTATTTTACTTCTGTCTGGAAAGAAATTGTCTTGGATAAGAAAAAAAAAAAAAAAAGCTCTTCTTTTGGCCTTTCATAGTAAAATTTGGGGACATATTGATGAGGCTAGGAAAAACACTCCAGATTCAGAATAATCAAGGAAATAGAATCTTAATCTATGGCTAAATTATAAATTTTTAAATTCCCCAAGGAAATAGCATTTTTTTGGTTAGGTTAATTATGTGCACAGGTAGAGATAAGTAGAAGGGGCACTGAACTGTGATCAGGAGCCTGGACTTCACTAGGAAACTATAGAACTGCGAGAAGAATCTTAATCTAAGCATAAATAAAGGGCTTGTTTCCCAAATACTGGTCAAGGAGTAGAAGAATCCAGACTAATACCTGAGGGTCTGATTCAGTAGTCAGGATATGGCTGAGGACATTTAAAATTTAAAAAACAAATAACCAAACCAAGCAACTTATATAGTGCTGGCATATGTGATGTACACACCAGAACCCAGGGACCACTGCTTTGGGTGACAACAATCCAGATAAAGGGTTTTAAGACCTTGGGTGGTACTGCACCTTAATGTTATATGGAACTCAGTTCTCTAGGACCTCCACATGGTTATCCAATGTACTTAAACAGATCCCATTTTACTATGGGCCAGTTCAAATTGTTGTTATGTTCAACAATGTCAGAACCTAACTTGAATAGGATTTATGTTTTACTTTCTAAAGAAACAAAAAATCAGTCTGTTCCTATTTTAATATTAAAGACAGGCAACAGTATAAATAGATGACTTTCCTCAACTCATCCACATAAAGTTTAGAAAATTTTCTTAATCATACTGTAACTCAGGATGTGGGAGCTATCCCTGAGTTGTTATTGCTCAAGGTTAGCCCTCTACCACTCTGAATTACACAGATCCTCTTCTGGCTTTTCTGGTAGTTTAGATAACAGATTTCTCACAGATTTCACTGTCTGGGCTAGCTTAGATTTCAGCATTCCATAGATCCTCAGTCTCCTGACTAGCCCAGTACAAATACCATTTCAAAGAAATAATAAACTCATTCTTTTGTCACTATCCTGTAGTTTTTAATCTTTTGTTGACTAGAAAATAAGGTTTAAATACAATATATGCACAATTTCTAAGTGTTAGCAAGGAACTTGAGTAATTCTTTAATATAGTGGCTTTACCTAATTTTAATATCAAGGAAATTATTGTAAGCTTTATCATTTCTAATACTAAGATTGTAACTTTGAACTATTAAAGGGCATTTATGGGCTTGCTGTAAATACTTATTAAAATAGTATGAAGATATTCAGAAAACTTACTAAAATAGTATAAAGATAAAAATACTCATGTAACACTTCCATATAATTTATCTTTTGTTTCTCACAATAGTAGTAAAACCAGTGTTAGCCCCTAAGACCAGAAAACACATGACTGAAAGGCTGTTTCTTGACCAATGAAGGAAAAAAAAATTTTATGGATTCTTCATTACATTCCCAAGCTTTAAACAAATTTACATTTTCCTCCTCTTGAAAAAGTCTTAGTGATATATTTGTCCCATGGAGTATGAAAATAAAAGGAATGTTTACATAACATCAGTAAAATTATCCACTTCCTAAGAAGCAAATCCAAATCTGGCTTCTCTTCAGATTGTACAAATCTTTCACCTTTTACTGAGCGGCAAATCCAAAATTTGAACTAAAAGCTTTTGATGTGTAGGTCATACATACTATTCTGTCAACATGCCTTTCAATCTAAATTCCAACATGAAAGAAGGCTGATTTGTCATTAATGCCTTTAGTTTAAAATTTTCAAGTGAGAAAGCATATATTAACACCAAAATTACATAAACTAAAAAAAGAACTTTCTTTCAAAATTTACAATCTGGAAATGAAGGGGAAAAAAAGGAGAACCAAAGACGACTGAAAATTCAAAACAGTACAAAATTCCCTTTTTTCATTTTTCTTTGTAATTTGCACTTCCATTTTGCAGTAGCAGTCTGTTTCAATTTCCTTTATCCAAAAGGGCATACCATTTGTTTCTCATTCAATTTACAAATTGAGTTGGGAGTATTTTGTCAGAATAGATGGAGCTGGACCAAAACAATGCTGTATCATTGCCTCAGGAGCAACAGGAGGACTGTAAGCGGACAAAATCTCCCATTTTGCTTGTTATGCAACAGAAACATGTTAAATGCCCCTGCAGTGTATCTGTAGAAATCTCATCAGTTTAATTTTCCCTCAGCTATACTAGAGGTCAGCTCACACTTACCACCACTTTACTACGAAATTATATCTGCCTACAAGTTAGACATTGAAGTACTTATGAGCCTTTAGGCAAGTGACTCATTCCTAGTTACTTTGGCACAGCCCTGAACAATGAGATCGGATATGTCAGAGATAGATATGGCACTCTGAAGATTAAGTTCCTGATCTACCTGTCAAATTGACCTTTTATGGCTATGAATTTGTTTGCTGCAGAGTATTTATCTCAAAAAAATTATAGGTTAATACCTGCAGTGATAATTCCACATTAATTTGTTGACTAAAAATAAGTTTTCTTCATTTACTTCTCATGTGAAAAACATCCAAACACTTTTATAGGACCAAACATTAGCCTCACATTCATTAGTTTACTGAGTCTCCTTCACTGAGTGTAAGAAACAAATTTTTTTTTTTTGTGGCCTAGTTTTGTTGTTGCTGTTTAGTTATTATGTAGCCTACAATGGCCTGGAATTCACTATGTAGCCAAGGCTAACCTTGAACTCTCATCCTTGTTAGGATTACATGTATTTTCTAACCCTAGCTCAAGAAACAAGTATTTTTGAGTTTTACAATTCACACTTCTGAAATTGAGATATTTCTAAGAAACTATGGAGTCTCAGATTTGATGAAATATGGTAAGTGATAACATTTGGATATTTCCTCAAGGGTATCAAAAGCTAGCTGAACAAGTAAACGCTCTAAAATACTTGAAAATAAAGTGCAAGTGCCCCAATACAGATCACTATTACAAAATGTTCCCTTAAAATTGGTGAACGCCATTAATGACTTAAAAAAAAATTATGGTATGCTAAAATACTAGAAAAAATGGGCTCTACTACATAAAAACTAAAATCTTATTCTGAACTACCTCCTAATAAGAAAAAACCCTTACAAATGAAATAAGCGTTTTAAGTTACATAGAATAATAAAATTATCATTTGCTTTTCAGTCATTCTGGTAAAATGCCATAAAGTCAGTCCTGTACTACTCTTAGTACTGTGATACTTAAACTCAATGCATGCACAAGCATGCCAACACACCACAATTCCATCTCCCAGGCTTTTAAGTAGGTATCTGAGTTCATTTTCACCTCTTGTTGATGGATACATTTCCTTTAAGGATGGAACAATAAAAACTTCAAATTCTGGGAATGTACATAGAAAAGAAATTAAAATCTAAAATTTAAAATATGTAAACTAGAGGTAAAAAATATAGGTGGAGAGGAAGGACTTAAAAGACTTTCATAATAATAGTATTCTTAACTTTAGTACTACTGACATTTTGGACAGTCATTCTTAGCTGTGGGATGGAGACTGTTCTTTACACTGCCTCTACTCACTAGATGCCGGCAATGTCCCACCCCCCTACCTACTCAGTTGTACCAAACAAGGACATATTGAGACACTCAAACAGGGAAAAGCCAAATCCTTTTCAGAACAAAAGCCCCAACCTTTTAGTTTCCCCTCACAAAGGGGGCAAAAAAGTTAATTAAGGGAAAAGATTTCTCAGGTGTTTCTGATTCTGAACTCATTTGAAGGGAGGAAAGTAACTTTAAATCTACTTAAAAGCAACACTGCTTCAAGTAAGTTCTTCCAGCTGTAGAAGAAAATAAGTATTTATTTTAGTTATGTCTAAGTATTTGAAGTACTAGAACTAATGTGAGAAAACATCTTAAAAATCTGAAATACCATATATCCAAGGGTCTTTCTGAATTATTATTTCCTTATTCATTTGTTTTACATCCAACCATTCAAACTATCATTCAAGATAGTGAAATATATCATTTTTACATTAGGGTGGTAGCTAATGTCAGATATTTTTCACCTCATACCTACATTATTTACAAAGAAATGATGAGCACTTAATCAATGCTATTTTGCTTGAACACACTCATATATTATAAAATAAATAATATTCAGGTTTGGTTTTGAGCAATCTTCCAGTAAATAGTCAAAGAAATGTAAATATTAGTAAAACAGTAGTTAGAATTTGAGCACATGTACAGACAGTCTAGGCACTGATGGGAAGAAGCCAAACTCTACTAGGATAGTGACAGGTTAGTTACCTCCAGTGACTAATTCAAGTTCTAAAATTAGTCTTAAATTGCTAATTTATAAGCAGTGTGATTTATAAGTAATTTATAAGCAGTGGCACAATAATCCAGGAATCTAAACATAAATAAGAAGTCTTAAAGAAGCAATAAAAATGCAAATGCATATAAAATAAAGAGTTAGACTTTTCTAATAATTACACTTAAAATGTTTTTCCTTATTCTGAATAGCATTTTGTTGAAGGTATTTGTCATAGGATATTGTATACCCTGCAGTGGTTCAGAACCCATCACCCAACAAGAAACCCTACACCTAATAGCAGTCAATTCCAATCCCTTGCTTCTGTGTCTGGCAACCAATCATCTGCTTTGTTTCTATGGATTTGCCTGTTCTGGACATTTCACATAAACAGAAGGAACAGGGCCAACATGTGCCCTTTGGGGACTTCCTTCCTTCACTAAGCATAGTATTTCCAAGGTTCATCTATGGTATAGTATATAACAGCATTTCATTCGATTTTAAGGCTGAATAATCCTCAATATTTTGCAGCAATTAAGCAAAACATTTCGAGTAGTGGGTTTACAGACCTGAAACATCTTCAGCCATTCCTGGAGGCCTGTTGGTGGTTGGACAGATGTAATTCGGCGTCGTTGTTGCCCTTGGCCGTTGGCTGCTCTCAGGTCCCCAAATGTTGTTGGTGTTGCTGAATAAGGTACAAGCCCAGTGGTACTACAAAAAGAAAAAAAAGTATGATAATAGAAGCAAAGGTAAATATTTATTAAGAATCATGAACTGTTATTTAAAAAGAATGATGACCTGGCATATTTCAATTAGTCCGTTATTTGGTTATTCTCAAGAGCAGTATACCAAAACCTACTCTGCTATTCTTAGAAGTTTTCTCCCTCCTGTTACTATCCAGCAAAGCTAACTGCAACCAAATGAAAAAAATCTCAAGGGCAAAAGATCAAGTAGTTGATATACAAATAAAGTCAACATATTTCCTTGGGACTAAAGGTAACATGTAATTAGCATACACAAAAGGCCCTGTGTTCAGTCTCTAATTACCAATAAATGAACAAATAAAAAAGTTTTTCTTCTTACAACAGGTAGGCCCTAGTTCTATGAATGGTTTTCAGTGACACCACTTTAGTCTAAATTTTACTATATTAAAAAAGTATGAGACTATCAAAGCTGTGAACGCTCAAATGTTTTGGAAATTACTAATCACATACTTCCTGAAGCCTGCCTCAGATGGCTTCAAATTTCTAATATTTAACTATTGCTGTCTAATTTTTCTTATTCTTATAGTTTAGTCTATACATTTGACAGAACTAGTCTTGGTTAGAAATACAGTTACTCAAAACAGGCAGAAAAAGAACTTATGGGCAAAATTAAATAAGATCATCTAAATATTTATCAATAATTTAAGATGAGAAACTGAAAGCCAAATAAACCAGAAATTTTTCAAAAAGAAAAATAAGACTAGATATTCTAAACAATGGCAACCAGTAGAAAGAATATAATAATAGCTAGCCTATTAATATACAATATTTTATAATTCCTCTAATTAAAAAATTAGAATACTGAGTATCACTGCTTGAAAAACTATAAAGAAGCAAGTTTACTTAACAAACTATACTTCTGGAATAATCCTCTATTCACTAAGTACTAAAGTCTAAAGAACACATGCAAATTGTATTATCATAGTTGAGAACCAACTAGTAAGTAATCAAATCTGGTAAATTACCAATTAAACAAATTTCTATTTTTATTTCCTGTTTTGTTGTTGTTCAACTCAACCTCAACCATCATAATTTATAGGAAAATCTTCATACCTATCCTTTAAAATTTTTTAACATTTATACATTTCATATTTATATTCAACAAGTAAATCTATCCTTCCTTTTTTCAAATGCATTTTCTTTAAAATGTGTTAAAATTTACTAAAGAAAAAATAGAAAATCAGTTTCATGTTACCACCTGTCAAAAATGTGTCAAAAATATAATAAAACATCAAATATATAGCATTAGTAACTGACAAAACCTTTAAAAGAAGAGGGAAGAAATTTGTTATTGGGTCTTTGGTAAGCTACTGTTAAAAAAGTTACTTTCTCAATACAAAAATTAAGCAAATAAATCAAATTTCACTTAAATGTGTTCTTTAATAAGAATCTAGCACTCATTAATTATAAACTACCATAAAAACTGAACTTAATATCTCATCCTGGAATCATATTAATATAAGACCATTATATCGTAGCTGACTGGAATCTAAATATTTAAAAATTACCAGTAGTAGTTTAACATTACACTCAACTTTTTCTTCAAATATTTTGTCAAGACCTGAAGAAATGAAGTTTAGATTTTATTTGTCTCTTTATCCTACACCCATCTGTGAAGCACCAAAACACAGCAAAATTGTCAAAAGGCAGACAGAGGAATGGAGACAGTTAACACACACACACACACACATTAAAACCACAAAGAAAAGCAGATCCTGAATAAGTAAGAGCTTTGTCTTCAACATCTTCATCAGTGTCATCTCTTTATATTTTTCTATGTAAAATTATCCTACTAAGGATGTGTAAAGTTCACAAACGAGCATTTGAAAATATACTATCCCTAACTGAGTAAAAATGTATTGGTCCTCTGTTTGGGGCAAAGAGCTCTTATGTAAAACTGTAATAATTTTTTTAATCTTATACCCTGGGCAGTGTTAATGTCATTGCAACTTATAAAATAAAAATAACTAAATCAAGATATTTTGTGGAAGTCTTCATTGCTAACTTCTGATTAATTTCTTGAAGAACTGACAAAAAAAAGGGACCAAAAAGGTTCTTAAGATACTTTTGTTATTTAAATTTTGAAATATAGCATTCCAAGTAACATTCAAAGCCATTTTTAATTGGCTGGGAAATAGATATTGTGCTTAAGTTAGCCTAATTAGCGTGAGAGTGGGAAAAGTTTTATACTGATGCAAAATCCAAAAATGATGGACTAAAGCAAGAAACAAGACTACAATTGTGTTTAGTTGTTATGGAAACTATTCTACTGGTATAGAAATGTATGTGGTTAAAACATAATAGCTACCAAGCTAATAAAAGTAAATTCTAACACATTAATTTCACGAAGTAGGAATTTGCATGAGATGTTTATTTCAGAAATATTCTTTCAATTTTGCATACATAAAAATATCCATCATAGAATAGCTGTTGCTATAGTAACAAGATACATTTGCTCATACTCATCATACTTTAGTTTACTTCTGAGAATTCCTTAAAAACATATTTAAAAATTTTTGTTCACAAAAGAACTTTTGCTTGTATCTTACGTCAATGTGCTAGTACAAAATGCAAAATATAATGGCAGTCCTTCTTCCCTCATTTAAATGATATTACTTCCTAATTTCAGTCAACATTACTGGTAGTGTTACTTCAAAAGGATAAAAGGAAAGAAATGTTTTCAGAACCAACTTTAAAACAAATGACGACTATGGGAGAGTAGATTACGATAGTTAATATTACCTTGTATATTCTGAGACTTTGCATGGTTTCTTTCCCAAAGAAAAGGAGCGGACCTCAGAACCATGGTCCAACTTTCTTTTCATCTATAAAGTAAAACAAATAACATAGTTTGGTGCTTTTTTTTAAAGTCACTTGTTTAACTATTAACTATTGAGTTAGGATTCTTCATATTTAAAAACTTAAATTTTTCATGTGATTACAGTGATAATTTGGTAATTAATACAGAAAACGAATGTATCATATTTTTCAATTGCCCCATGTTGTTTTACTATTAAGAGTCTTGAAAGGTAAATTATCCCTGGGGTATTCTGTCTAGAAGGGCAGTGCTTCTTGATTTAAAAACTGATATTCATCATATATAATCCTTGGGAATCATATACTTATCTTTTCCAGTTGAATAACCAACATTTAAAAAACTCATGTTCATCCACATACAAGAAAACCATGCCTTCCTTTCTAATCTCTGTTTTTCTTTTAAAAACATGTTTTAAGAAAGGAATAGAATTCAAAATTTCCAAACCAGAAATAAGGAGTAGCTAACTGAATTGTAAACACTCATATCATTATATAAAAGAGTAAAGACAGCAATATATATAATCTTGGAACTTTGTTATAATCATAATAAATATGGACAGTTAAAAAATAGTAAATTCATCACAATAGATTTGGAGATGGTATAATAAAGCTATAGAGTACAGCTCCTACACATAGGACAAATAATTGAACCAAAAAAAGTATTTTAAGAAAATAAATTATGTCCTTTAAAATATATACCCAATATTAACATTTTAACATGTTTTATTATGCTGTTATACTAGTAATATATTCAGAATTGTATTTTATCAATGTTGAAATACTTGTTTTCATATTTCACTATCAGTTTAACCGAGGTCATCGACTATACGTTTATTTTAAAGCCAGAAAATAAGATCTGGTAAGATGCAACTTTTTTCCATTTCAGATTTGTACCCACAAATTAATTACTGTTTTACTCTAAGTTATAGAGAATAGACAGCTATGCTCATTTTTATAGTAGCTGAAAACCTTATTTTTCAGCAGCCTATTGCTTCACATGGGAACACCATAAAACAGAATGATACAATATGAATACTAAAGAGAACCAAAAAGACTCAAAATCTTTTTAAGACTGGATAATGATTGTTTCAGCCCCCATGAAAGGAAAGTCTTCTTATACATTAAAGGATGACTTAGAATGTTTTTGAAAATCTTCTTATCCATAAAGGATGACTTAGGACATTAGAGCTGGACGTGAGGGTACAACAAGCTTATCCACAATTTATACCTCAGTTTGTGAAATACTACTGGGGGGAAAAATGGAACTGGTCTGCTTTCTTTAGAACTTTCTGCACTTATTACATTGTGTTAAAGAGATTAGGTCCAAAAGCCATTCTTTTCTTTCTCTGATTTTATTTTTTTAAACATAATTAATATAAAAGCACGCAGGCAGCCACATGTTTTCATGTATATAAGCTGTAGGAACACACACATGTATTTGTATCATATTTATAAACGAACACATCAGGAAGGTCAATCAGTAAATATTTTAATAACTTTCACAGAATATTTTCATAATCTTTACAAGAAACTTTGATATTCATTCCAATTAAGTCTGTAATACTGGCTTTCAGAACTTCTGTATATCTTGTAAATACAGTGGTGTTAATGCCATTTGCCAGTAAAGGCAAACTTTATTTCCATCTTAGAAACCTCTCAATGAATTTTTTAAAAATGCCCAAAATACATATTAAAGAAACACTGAGAAAGGGGTTTTATTTTTAAATTTTATAAAATAAAGCACTTTCTGAATGGCGACAGAACTCTTTTAAATATTGTACTGTTTATTGAAAAATACTCTTTTATAACCAAAATTTAATTCTGCAATTTTTGAGAGGCATGGAAAGTATCATGCCTCCTCTTTAAATATATATCCCAAATATTTTAGTGATTCTACATGTTAAGAGTCAAGTAATGAGAAAAGAAACATATAAGGTATAGGAAAATTGAAGGCAAATGGTTCACTAAAAGCCGACTAAGGAGAGAGTATTTCCAGGTCAGCATCTAACGGAGCCACGTTTCTGAAGTCTGACTACAATTTTAATGAGAAATTCTCAGATTAAAATGTACATTTTATTTTAAATTTAAGGCTTTTTTCTAGCTCATGCTGCTTTTCCATCATTTGCTTACAGTCATGAAATAAAGCAGAATACCAGACATCCAGACACCCACCAAAATTAGAGGATACTGCAGCCATCTCTGATGATACAGATTTTCCTTCCCAGGCAGGCACACACACAATCACACAGCACAGTAAGAAAACAGATTACTTACTTTGTAAAAAATCATTTTTAATGTGCCGTAGAAACCCATATTTTCTGTATTTTTCCCCTTCAGTGATTCTGAGCCCCCGTGTGTCCGGCTGCTTGGCAGTCTCTGACAATATAAACCTTTTTCAGGTAGGTATGTCACAGATTCTAATGTGGACATGCTCAGGCACGTCAGAAAAGGAAGATTAGGGAGCAGAACCGGCAACCAAACTCCACAGTAAAGGCAAATGCAGCTCAGTATCAAACCGCTTCTCGGGACGCACATACATACATGCAGCCTGACTGAGGAGAACTCGAGGGAATAATGAGAGAGAACCGAGAAGATTATTGGAGGAGACGGTGCCCTGTCAAAGCCTTGACTGAACAGATTCCTCCCTCAGCAGCAGAGGGATCAGATTACATCTTCCCTTGAACACAGAATGGTGCAGTCCAGGATTCAGCAATGCAGACTGCACATCAATTATATGGTGATCCGCTCCAGGGAACCTTCGTAAGCAAGCACACAACGCACTGAACAGAGGGAGGATGTGGGCAGCAGAGACCGCCCCCACACGACAGCCCCTCTCCCTTTTCAAACTTTCAGCAGATTATTTTCGTATTCTGTAAATCTGTATTTGTTAAGAGTCTTAAAGAGCACGCACCATTCCCACAAATAAGTCCTTCCAGAAACATTTGGAAATGAAATGTATTCTTATGCCGCCCCTTCCAAGGAAGAGGCAAAGCAAGCTATTTTTATTAACTGTCGCCCTACAGCAACGCTGGCACAGTCTGGTCAGCTCTTTCAACCGCTTGGATGGTACCAAATGGCAATATCAAAAAGGAAAAATTAAATACTATTTGGGGAAACTGACAATAAAGTAAATCCATTTGGAATACACAGTATTTGCAGAAACATGAAACAAGTTCCATTTCAACTTGCATGTCTCTTATATTGCAAACTTGATGAAAACATTCCCTATGCTTTTCCATTTCATTCTTTCAAAATTCAGTTTTCAAGAAAATAACCACATACTCCATCAATTCTTAGTAACCATGAGACTTAACACACACATAACTAAACCACTGCATAAAGTCTCTCTGAAAGGCTAGGTGCTTTTTGGAAGGAGGGTCTTGTCCTTATTTGCTAATCTTAGGTCAACAGGAAGCACTGGACTTGTATCTGCAAAATTACTTTAACAATGTACACTGCTTATCATTAAAAAGGCATTTAATAGAATAATAAAGATGCCAGCTTCGCCTGAAGACATCTTTTTAAGAACAACTACCATAGAAATGTAAATATTTCATCTTCCAACTTGCTACACAACTAGTTTCCAATGCAATTATAAGATTCCTTGGACTAGAAAGGTCTATTATTAAGGGCCTAGTTAATTAACTTCTACCCTCTCTCCATTAACATTCTTTATTACAAGTGTATAAACTATGTACCTACAGTTAAGGTCCTTACAAAGTTTCCTTAGAAAAAAAGAAAAAACTTATATAAACTTAATACATTTTAGTGCTTTTCTGCAATGAAGGCAAATGACTAAAATAATTTCAAATAGTGAATAAAATATTTAAATAAAAAAGTAAATGTATACAATTATGATATGCAAACAGCCATTTAAATTTCAGTAAAATAAAAACTACATAAAAATGTTAAAAAAGATTAAACCAATGTAATATCTTAGTTTAAAATGAAAATAAGATAGTGCAAAATTTTTATAAAGAAATATTGTTGACTATCCTAGAAATTAGATTCTAGTATCTTTTTTAAAAATCTACATGATCCTTAAACCCTTTTCCCTCAGAAACAACATGGTCACACAAACTCAGTGAAAGTTAGTTTTCAACATAATTAATTAGCTCACTTCATAGAGAAATGCTTTTTAAATTGAAATCTAATACTCTCAAGCAAAAAATAACCTACTTGCTAGAAATAGACCAATAAAGCCTTATTCTTATAGGGGGTCAGAACACTCATGATTTAGGAAAGAACAACAAATAGCCTTGTTCTAGGCTATCTGAAGGAAAGAACTAATGGCTGAAGTTGCCTCTAGAATTTGTCAGTGGTAACTAGATTTTCATCAAAGTAGAAAACAAGTGACATCATAGCATACATACACTGACTTCAACTAAAATCTTGTTCTGTTTCTAGCTGACTGACCTTTCCAAAGTCTAGGAACAGAAACCAACATAAATAAGGGGCACTTTCTCAAAACCTAGAAGGTTATAGAAGAAAATACCAAGATTTTGTATATTGAAAGGAATATTTTCATGGTTACCTTTTACTAGTGCTATTTGTCTTCCACAAATATTTGTTTATATGTAAGCATACGTGTTCATGTTTTATTTTGAATAGATGAAATATTTAATAGTTTAAAATAAAAATAGTACAAAAAGAATATTTAAGAAGTTTTTATATTACCACAATTCCTGCATATACAATGGCTTCCATTCGGGAATGATTTTTTAGCACTCTCTTAAAATACTATCAGTGAAAACTGTTATCTAATTTTATTACTATCAAAAATCTACACATGAACAATACAAATGAAGGCATTCTCATATTCCTATTTTTGGTAAGCTCTGCTAAAATAAAAGATATTTAAAAGTTTCAAAATTTCATGTAAGTTTCTAGTTATATAATATTCAAAAGGTCATGTGTTTGTATCCATACTTATCTGTCTTACACTTGTGGTAGACATTTCAAACCTTATGTCAGTCTATAATTGATGTAATTGTTAAAATTATTTTCT